GGCGATCAGCTCGTGTCGCAGGTCGGCCACAAAGGTGCGGAAGGCGTCCAGCGACAGCTGGCGGGAGCCGTCGGCGCCGAAGAACAGCACCATGAGGCCGTGCAGGTCGGCGCTGCGCGCAGGCGGCGGCGGCGGCGGCGGCGGCGGTGGCGGCGGCGGCGGCGTGTCGGGCAGCAGCGGCCAGAGGAGCAGCGCGGGAGCGGTGCGACAAGGCCCCAGCGCGGGGTAAAGCGGCGCGGCGCGGCAGCGTGCAGGGGCGTCGAGGCGCTGGCGCCAGGGCGCCGGTGCCGGCGCGCCCGCCAGCCTGGCGCCAGCCTGGCGGCTGCCCAGCTGGCGCTCACTCTGCGGTGTGCACCGACTTGCGCATGGACACCGAGGGCTTGCCGGCGCGGGCGTGGATGGAGGACAGCAGCTGCTGGAACTCGGCGCGGTCCACCTTGCCGCTGCCGTCTGTGGGGGGCGGGATCGTCCCGATGATCAGGGGCGGGCAGGGGAGGCAGGCTGCCATCAGCACAACACCCCTGCGCCTCCACCCAACCCACGCTTCCGCCTCAACCACCACCTCTCCATCTCCTCTGCTCCTCCCTCTTCCCCTCCCCTAGAACGATGCCTCCCCGCCCCAGCTCCCCTCCCCGTCCCCATTCCCTGCCTCTCCCCCCTTTCCCCACCCTGCCTCCCACCCTCAGCGCGCCCCTGTGCCACTCACCCACCATTGTCCATGAGCCTGAAGGCCACCTCCAGGTCCTCCAGCGGGATGGACAGCAGGGTGCGGAACAGCAGGAACTCGTCAAACCCGATCTTGTTGTCGCCGTCAATGTCAAACTTGAGGATGAACTTGCCGGCCTGCACACGAAGGGGAGGAGGGGCGGGGCGCGGCGGGGCAGGCTGGTCCAGCAGCAAAAAACAGGGCAGCGCTAAGGGAAGAGCCAGGCGAGGACGACCCGAAACCGTTGGGGTAGGGAAGGAGCGGCGCAGCGGCGGCAGACCATCTCGCCAGTGGTTTGGCGGTGCTGGCGTGGGCCGGAGGGCCCTCCCACCTCCCCCAGCCCCCACCCTGCCCCGCCAGCCCCCTGCCCGCCCGCCTCCGCACCTCCTCCTGGTGCACGTGCGGGCTGGGCTCGCCCGGCAGCGACCCCGCCCGTATCACGTCGCTGCCCTCAGGCGGATACACAGGCACCACCGAGCGCAGCATGTCCCCCGCAGTCATGGAGAACACCTTGGCCTCGCTCTGGGAGGCAAAGTACTCAAACACCTGGCAGGGAGGAGGGAAGGGAGGGAGGGAGGGAGGGAGGCGGTGGGGGGCGGGGGTGCGCTGGGCGGCAGCGAGCGCGCGCGGCCGGGCTGCGGGCGTTTGCCTGCCTGCCTGCCTCGACAGGCGTCGTTTGCGGCGGCACGCCAGATAGAAGGTGGGCCTGCCTGCCTGCCCACCTTCTCGGGTGGGCTCATCTCCCGGATGCGCTTCTCGTACTTGAAGAAGGTGCGGCGGCGCTGGTCCAGGGACATGAGGTTGAAGCCCTGCGGCAGGTGGCGGCAGCCGGGTGGCGGCGGGGCTGGAGCAGGGGCGGGAGCCAGGCAGACGGCCAGCCCGGGTGCTGCAGCTGACATGGCAGGCGTGTGGCCCCTGCTGATGATGCAGGCCAGGCTGGCTGGCTGCGTCCCATGGGCGCAGGGGTGGGGCGCGTGTGTATCGGCATCTTGCTCGTAATGGGCTCTCAAGAGGGGCATCAGACCCCCTGCACCTAGGGCCTCCTGCGCCTGCTGCTGCCCTACCTTGTCAAGGTGTGGCGGCGGCGGAAGCTCCTCCTGCGCCCTGCTGCTGGTTGTGGCGCCCGCGAGCCCCAGCAGCGCCACAACGGCCAGCTGCCAGCCCGACTGGGCCGCTGCCGCGCCTGCGCTGCCGCCGACCGCCCCGGGCCCCGCTGCCGCTGCCGCCGCCGACGCAAGGCCGCCGACAGCACCCATCTGCGCCGAGCGCGCTGGCTCTGCAGCGCACACTGTGCTGCCCTGTAGTCGCCGCCAGAGGCGGCTCGCACCTCGCCGCAGCATATGAGAGTACTGCTGCCAAACGAGAAGGCTGTGGGCTAGTGAGCAGGCAAGCGCGGCCCACAGCGGCTCCAATTGGGCAATCGGGCAGGGTTCCCGGTCTTGTTTTGCCATCTGACCTGGCTTGACCTGGCCACCGCCACCTCTTGCTTGGTGGGCGCACCATTGTTCTTGTGCGGCACTGAATCGACTGCTGCAGGGCACCACATGATCATGAATGAACCGCGATGCACACCAGCTCTGCCTCACAGTCCCGATGCCTGTCTGCTTGCCGTGGGCGGCGACCCGAAAGGGCCCCCTGGTGCGGCGGCAGCAACGGTTTACAGCAGCAAGGCAACGGCAAGAGATTAGTTGCGATTGAAAGAGGCATATGGAACAGAAGAGGAAGGAGTGGGATGTCTGTGCCAGAACACGGAGGCAAACCAACCAAACGGGAAACAGTTCACGGAAGGAATACCGACACACGAGGAATACACACCGCAGAGGGCAGGGGCTGCGCCAAAAACGAAGTAGTCACGAGGTATGCATGGGTCAAGGTCAACGGGGCTGTGCGGCCTGCCGGCAGCGCGCACTGTCACGTTCAGGCGCCCCCAAAATGGCAGAGGGCTGCTGGGTGGCCCCCAGATGGCAGATGCTACTTCTCCTGCTCTAGCTGCTGAAGCTGTGACGGCTGCGGCTGCGGCTGCTGCCCTGCCCTCTGCTCAACATCCAGCAAAGGCTCGCTGCCTGATGGGGGCGTCTGGGAACGCGCACAGCTCCTGCCGCTGCTGGCACCGGCAGCGGGCCCGCTGCTAGCATCCATCACCGCGCTGCGGCGGCTGCTGCGGCTGCTGCTGCTGCTGCTGCTGCTGCTGCTGCTGCCGCCGCCGGGCAAGGGCTCGCCCTGCGCGTCCTCCTTTGTTGCAAACAGCCGGGAGGCGTCAGGCTGCTCCACAATGAACACCTCCACCTCCTTCAAAGGCGCGCAGGGAGCCACCAGGTACTCATCTGCAGCACAGTAGCACAGCGGGAAACAGCGGCAGGGTTGCAGACAGTGTCAGGTGCATGAAGCCTGCAACCTCGGGCCACGCAGGTGCTGTGTGCACCTTGTGGCAGGCAGCCTGGCAGCGCACGCACCTCCCGAGTGCCGCAGCACGCCGCCTCGCGTGCTGGCATCGTCGGCACGCCTCCCGGACCGCAGCATGGAGCGCCCCCAGCCGTTGGGCCGGCAGACCATCAGGCAGAAGATCAGGACGGCGATGAAGGGTATGAAGATGCCTAGGTACACCTCTGCGGGTCAGGCCAGAATGAGGACCATTCAAGTGAAGCGTGAGATGGCCAGTGCGGCACGGTTCCCCGCCACACACCAGCGCCCGCCCCTCACCAGCTCTGACCGAAGCTGTGCTTCCCGACGAGCTCGTCACATTCTGGGTGGGCGGTGGAGGTGGGGGTGATGCCCCGATGGCAGCGTTGCTCATCTGCTCGGCCCCCTGGTGCAGCATGCGCCGCGCGTTCAGCGGGAGCGGCAGCGGCAGCAGCTCCCGCACCGCAAGGTGCTGCATGTTGCGTCTCGCAGAGGCGTCTTGAAGGGTCCGAGGCGGTGTTTCAGGCTCTGGAAGAGCAGGAGAGGAACCAGGCAGGAGGGATGAGAGGTGAGTGGCGCTGTGACTGCTCGGTCGTCGACAAGGCGCGGCTCACATATGTTGCGATTCTTTCAAGTGCCAGAAGAGACTGGGTTTGTGGGGTTTCAAGGACGTTCACCCAACCTGGCGCCCTGACCCCTCAGCACGCTCCGCAGCTTAGGTATGTAGGGGCCCTGCGCGCAGCTTTTGGCAGTATGAAGCATTGATTGCAGATATGGGAGCTTTTTGAACCCTCAGCACTTGACAAAAGCCGCGAGTTTGGTGACTGCGGCCCTTCCCGTGGTCCCTCGCTTCTCTTGCCCGGCATGGCTGCCTCCGCCGCTGTAGAACTTGCCGCTGGAGGATTGAGGAGGTTGTGGCACCACCCCAGCGTCCATGCCGCGCCGCCGGGGCGCCGCTGGGGGCGGCGGAGCCTGCACCGCCGCTCTGCCGTGCCCCTCCTGCCTCCCGGGCCAGACATTGGCCAAGCCAACGAAACTATCGACGGCCAGGTGGTCACAGCCTCGCGCCTTCTCAAGGAGTACCTCTTCAGCCTGCCCATGATTCAGCGTCCATACGACTGGCCAGAGGACGAAGCGTTGGGGCTCTTGGATGAGTTGCTGGAGAGTGTGGGCCCAAGCACAGGTCGGCAAGTCAGGTGAGGCTGTGCTGGCACGATGTGGCACCTCAGGCTGCTGCCGGCCCCCATTTGCAAACCAGAGCTCGGCCACCTGCCCACGCAGCGAGCTGGAGCAGTACATGTTGGGCATGATAACCCTGTCAGAATCCACAGGGAGCAGTGGCATCAAGTTCAATTGTAAGCTCATCATCGACGGGCAGCAACGCATTATCACGCTGGCACTGATACTGGCCGCCGCGCGGGAGCAGCTGGAGTCCGCCGCCGATGCCGGCAACAAGGCAGCCGGCAAGGTGGCAGCCAGCCTGGTGGAGCGGCTGTACGAGGTACCACCTGGGTCCTGCTTTCGTGCGCTGTGGCAGCTTTGGTGGCAGTTTTGGCGATGCATTGTAGTGGCCGGCAGCCCTGCAACGCCGCTGGCTGGCCATGCAGGAGGGAGATGAGGCCGAAGACCTGGCTGACCAGCCTCGCATTGTGCTCAAGTCCAAGGCTGACACCGAGTTTCTGACCAACCTGTTGACAGACCCGGGCTTTGTGCAGCAGCCGGGCACCAAAGTGCCGCTGGAGGGCAGCTCCCAGCCCAAGCTGTGGGCCAACATGCAGGCAGGTGCAGGGGCAGGCTGGGAAGCATGCGCTGTGCAAACCAGGATCTTTGCACTAAGCTCGACTACTGCTCACTCGTCTTCTTGCAAGAAGGCATCTTGTGCAGGCCATTCGGAAGCGGATGAGTGATATGGATGACACCGTAATGATGCAGCTTTCCAAGTACATCCTGCAAAAAGCGAGTCTGATGCACACGGCAGCCACACCTGGACGTGCTGCATGCACTCTGCATGCTCAGGGTGGCGCAAGCAGTCGATGCCAGGCATTCCACCCGCCGCTCTTGCGGCCGCCTGCTCCAATCCTACTTTTTTCCTGCAGGTTGTTTTCATTGTGACATTGTCTAGCTCCTTTCAGCTGGCCCTCAGAGTCTTCAAGGCCAGGTGCTTTGGTCGGCGTCCCGCCCGCCTGCCCGCCTGCCTACCCGCTCTGCTTGCGCCGCTGCTTATGTATCACTGTTTATTGTGCTGCCATGGTTTGCTGCCCCAGTGCCCAGCGAGGTGTGGACCTGATGGCTGTGGATTTGTTGAAGGCTAGCGTGTTCCAAACGATCACACCAGAGAAGGAGGTAGCCCACACACCTGCATGGAACCTCCGCCCGTTGCTTTTGTCAGTTTGTGCTCTCGCCCGTAGAGGCATCCAACCTGCCCATCGTGGCTCTGCGGTGGCCCCCGTCCGCACAGGAGGCATTTGGCAACAAGTGGGAGGAGCAGGAGAAGGCTCTCGGCAGGGAGGAGGGGCTGTCGGATGTGGCCAGGCAGCTGGCGCTCATCTTCTTGGGAAGGTGGGCAAGTGGGAGCAGGGCCAGATCGCACAGCATGGCTAGATTGGATTGGTTGCACTTAAACATTGCTGGAGAGCTGGATGCTGCAGGTTTCCAACTACCCACTCGGAGTTTGATGATTTGGACGCTCTCTTCAAGGCGTTTGCGGCAGAGCTGACGCCTGTGGCAGCTGCCACTGCTGGCGAAGTGTTCTTTGAGGACGTGTTCACCCACTTCTGCCAGGCACGCTCCGGCTGCTGCTGCTGCCACTCCTGCTGCCGCCGCATGCGCTGCCTTGTTGCTCGCCTGCATTCCACCTCTGCTCAGTGCTGCGCCTCTTCTGTACTGCCTCTGCTGCAGGCGTACAGCGAGCTTCAGGACGCCGACCTCCGCAGCTCGCACAGTGGGTCGCAGCAGGCCTGCCGGGATGCCAATTACCTGCTGGGCGTGCTGGGGCGATGGAAGAAGCAGAGCGAGTGGCGGGCGCCGGTACTGGTGATGCTGGTACTTTTTTCAAAGCGGAGGTGAGCGGGCACGCGACTTGGCGTGTGCCTGCTGCCCTTCCCTGGGGGAGCCTGGCAGCGCCGTCAAGGAAGAGGCTCTGCTGATGTGGTCCTGCCTGGTGCAGGCTGTCGGACGAAGCCCTGCTGGCCTGCCTGGCAGACGTGGAGCGGCTGCTGGTGTGCGCTGTGCTGTGCAAGTGGACGCCCAGGAAGCGGAAGGAACGGTGGCTGCAGGTGGGGTCCAAAGGTGGTGGAACTGTGATGCCGGTGCTGTGGTGTGTGGTGTGTGTGGATGGGTGGGCAGGAGGGCGGGCTCCAGGTTGCGCATTGGCTGGTTAGCTTTGCTGCCATCTCCAGCGTACCGTCATGGCCTGGGCCATGCGCGACACGCCTGCTGTCCTGACTTCCCACGCACCTCGCAGGTGCTGGAAGATCTGGGCTGCGGCAGAGGCACCACCTACCACCTGCTCCAGCAGCGTGCAGCCCCAGCGGCCCTCCCTCCCTCGCTGGAGCTTGCGGCCGAGGAGCTGGCGGCTGCGCGGGCTGCGCTTGCTGGACCTGTGTACGACACATACGCCAAAGATGTCCCCCGCCTGCTGCTCATGCGGCTCAACGAGTTCCTGCTGAGAGGGGCGGATGCCTCCTACGTCACCTATGATGTGGGTCCGACCACATAGTCCGGAGGCTGCATCTATTGCACGGATGGCTTCCCTTGCCTGCCCACCCACCCTTGATGCCGCATCCTGCGCACGCCTGCGACCTGCCTGTTCGCCGTGCCGCGGTGCGCAGGACAAGGCGCGGACGCAGCTGACGCTGGAGCATGTGCTCCCGCAGAAGATGGCAGAGGGCAGCGGCTGGGCGGCGGCGTTCCCACCGGAGCAGCACGCTCACTGGGTGCATCGCCTGGGGAACCTGGTGCTGCTAGCCAGCAGAAAGAACGCGGCCGCAGGCATGCTTCCCTTTCAAGATAAGAAGAAGAAGTACTTCTTCAGCGGCGGCGCCAATGTGTCTGCTGGCATCCCGCTCACCGACTCTGTGAACAATTCAGGTGAAGGTTGCGTGAAGGCTGCTGGCGGTGCAAGCGCCCCGAGGGTTGGGGGCTGCTGCTGCATATGTACGCCGTGGCAACTCAAGCCATCGCCCCTGCCGTCATTCTGCCTGCAGAGGAGTGGACCCTGAAGTGCTGCAACAGCGGCAGGAGTATGTGCTGTCGCTGGCGCTGCGTTGCTGGCAGCTGCATGAGAGGGCTCCCTGCTGAGGCGTGCGTGGCTGGGGCTGGCAGCAGCTGGTGTCATCTGGCGCAACGATGCTTACATGACCTGCGCCCATTTTACACTTCCTGTGACATGACTGCAATTATTTTGAGCCATCTAGCTGCAGCAAATGCTTTGCCTACAGGGGCGGCACCGCGGAAGGCGTGCTGCCGCCGCCACCTCAGCGACGGTAATAGTCGGTTGCCCCTAGCGTCCTGCCAACATTAAGGTTGGAACTTTCAATTGCAATCCAGTCTTCGAGAAGCTGAGAGGGGCCCCATAGCGCACCACCGAACTGCCTCACTGGCCTTCCAGCCGCGCGGCGATGGTGTTGCTGGGCGAGGAGGCGGGATTGGAGCTGGACGGCCTGGTGCAGCAAGCCGAGGCGGTGCGGGTGCGCTCCCAAGGGCATGTGTCGGAGAATGCGGCCCGCTGTGGACCGCCAGTCCGCGTTGCCCGGGCCTTGGAGGAGCTCTGGCCGCAGAGCGGCAGCGCCCAGAAACCAACCGCCGCGCCCCGCAGGTGCTGGACGGCCTGGAGCGGGCCGGCGGCGTGGCGCCCGACCGCCTCGCGGCGGCGCGCTGCGCCTATGCGCCCCTGCAGCGCGCCGCGCTGCGCGCCCTGTCCGACCTGGCCGGCCTGCAGCACCGCATGGGCCAGCTGCTGGCGCAGCTGCAGCAGGTGCAGGTGCAGGGGGAGGTGGTGAGGCATGGCTTCACAGACCCCGTTCAGATCCTGGACAAGTTTCGGGAGGACAGGGACCGCGCTCGCCTGGAGGTGGGTGCTCACCCCTTGCGGGCCGCCGGCAGGGCCAGGGCCAGGGCCAGTTGTGCGCCAGGGCGGTGCAGGCAACCGCCAGCTCCAGCGGCAGGCAGCGCCGCTGCGCTGCTGGCCCAACCGCCGCGGCCGTGGTTGGGAGTGACAGGCTGTAGCGTCTGCTCCACCGGGCATTCCGCGTCCCCATGCAGGCCGCCAAGGCCGCCGACAGCGAGGAGGCGGCGGCACGGCAGGCCGAGGCCCTGCAGCAGCGCCTGGCGCTGCTGACCGGCAAGCTGAGCGAGGCGGAGGATGAGCGGCGCGCTGAGCTGGCGCCCGACATCCACGCCGCCAAGGAAGACATGGCGCTGCTGCGCAGCCAGCTGGAGACGGAGCGGGACAAGGCGGCGGCAGCAGGGCGGGAGGCAGCCGACATCGCCGCCAAGTTGGAGGCGGTGGGTTTGGCGCTAAGGGCATGGCAGACGGCATCACCGGCTTGCCCTGCCTGTGGCTGTCAGCTGTGGGGCCAACAGCATGCTGTCGGCCTGCTGGCGCGGCATTGGGATACTGCTGTCACCTGCCCAGCTTCCCGCCGGCTGCCTGCCGTACAGATCCAGCTTGAGGTGGAGGGTCTGAGGCTGGCGCTGGGGGAGGAGCAGGAGGTGGCGGCGCAGCTGCGCACGCACGAGGCGGCGGAGCAGGCGGTGCTGCTGGTGGGTGGTAGTGCGTGTGTGTGTGTAGGCTGTGTGTGTGCGCGTGTGTGTGTGCACCTGCGTGCGTGCGCGTGTGCATGTGGGCCTGTGTATGTGGCAGCATGGGCCGTGGTTTGAGCTTGGGGGGATGTTTTCTTCGTCCCTTGTTTCCACATCCCTCTCCCAGCCGAGCCGGTTCTCGCTGCTCCTGCGCCGCCTGCCGCGTGGCGCCTGCAGGAGTCCCGGGACCTGGTGCAGCAGCACGCCGCCGCCGTCAAGGCGGCCGACCGGCAGCGCAACCGGGCGGCAGTGCGGGAGCGGGAGGTGGAGGAGGTGGCGCGCGACATCGAGATGGCCAAGGTGGAGGCGGAGAAGCTGCTGGCGGACCAGGTCACCTGGGACATAGAGGTGGGAGGCAGCAGGGGGAGAGGTGCATGTGTGGCTGTGGGTGGGAGGTGTGTGTGTGGGCGTGGGCGTGGTGTGGCAGGTGGGAGAGGTGCTTGTGTGGCGAGGTGTGGTGTGGCAGGTGGCAGGTGTCCTCACAGGGAGAGGTGTGCATGTGGTTGGGTGTGGTGTGGCGGGGCGGACAGGACGAGAGGGAGGGAGGTGGAGGCCGGCGCTGCCACAGGAGGCAGCACGCGAATGTATGGCTGTGGTGCGTGGCTAGAGGATGCACCGCAGGCTGCTGCATGCGCATGCGCCGTGCCGCTGCCCCCAAGCCGCCACCCCGGCGCCCTCCTGCCTGCCGCGCAGGTGGAGAAGAAGCAGGCGGAGGCCAAGCGCGAGGCGGATGCGGTCAAGTGGGAGCAGCGGGGGCGGGGCGTGGTGCAGCGGCGGCTCAACCGTGCGGAGCTGGCGGTGAAGGAGGCGCAGGAGGCGCTGCCGGGGCTGGCCAACGCCGTGCACAACATGCGGTCGCAGCTGGGGGGAGAGCAGCGGGCGCAGGCGCGCGAGGCGGAGGCCACGCGCCAGCTGGCGGGCGAGCTGGCGGAGCTGGTGGAGGTGGTGGCAGCCGAGAGGAAGCTGGTGAGCTGGCGCAAGGAGAAGTCGAGGGGATTCACAACAGCCAGCAGGTTGCAAAGTTGCCAAGGGGATCTCAGAGTGCCGCCGCCTGTGCTGCAATGGGGCACCCGGCATGCAAGGGCCTGGCTGCCGGAGGCCGTGCGGCGCTCTCCCTGATGCATGCTGCATGCGTGCTGCTGCCGTGCCTGCCCGTCTCCCGCCTGCAGACCGAGGTGCAGGCGGCGCTGGTGAAGGCCAGCATGGCCGACGTGCGGCAGCGGGACGAGGAGTGCGCGGCGGTGAAGGAGGCGGCGGCGGAGCGGGACACGGCGATACGGGCGGCCACCTCGCGGCGGGACGCCGCCGCCCGCTTCCTCAACCAGCGCCTGCAGCGGTGGGCCGGCGGCGGGCTGGTTGGGGGCCGGGCCGCCTTGCTTGCTTTGCTTGTGTTTCGTTGGGAGGCGCCTCGCCGGCTACGCAGCACATACCTCGCTTGCTGCTGTGGGGTGATGCCAGCTTGCCCTGCTGCCCACCTGCCTGCCTGCCTGCCTGCCTGCCTGCCTGCAGGCTGGGCGAGGTGATTGACGAGGCGGAAGCCAAGGATGGGGAGGTGGAGGAGCTGAGGAAGAGGAAGGCGGA